CAAAGAGGGAGCTGTCGTTGGAGGAGAGCCAATCATGGAAGATTGGAGAAGCTAAACAACGACGGCGCAGACGGAAGACTGGAAGGTATGACTCTGTAGTTCGTCCACTTACTCTCCATGCCTACCTACAGTGCCTGTGGCCGTTACCGGCCGGTCAATGTGGGAGCTGTCGTTTTCGGATAGGCAACCATCGACGAGTGGAGAAACTAACCAACCAAGGCGCAGAAGGAAGACTGGAAGGTAAGTCTCTGTACTTCGTCCACTTACTCTCCATGCCCACCAACAATGCCTGTGGCTGTTACCGGCCGGATGATTGGAGAAGCTAGCCAACGAACGCGCAGAAGAAGGACTGGAATGGATGACTTTATACTTCGTCCACTTACTCTCCATGCCTACCTACAGTGCCTGTGGCTGTTACCGGCAGGTCAAATAGGGAGCTGTCGTTTTCGGATAGGCAACCATCGACGATTGGAGAAGCTAACCAACGAAGGCGCGGACGGAAGACTGGAAGGTAAGACTCTGTACTTCGTCCACTTACTCTCCGTGCTTTCCTACAGTGCCTGTGGCTGTTACCGGCCGGTCGAATAGGGAGCTGTCGGTTTAGGAGAGCCAACCATCGACGATTGGAGAAGCTAACCAACGAAGGTGCAGACGGAATACTGGAAGGTATGACTCTGTACTTCGTCCACTTACTCTCCATGCCTAGCTACAGTGCCTGTGACCGTTACCGGCCGGTCAAAGAGGGAGCTGTCTAATGAGGAGAGCCAGTCATCGACGCATGCCCTTTTGCCGTACACCTGACCGTTAATGTTACTGATTTGTCATGCCGGCTGACCAAGGCAGTCGGGGTCGAATTTCCGTACTGAGAAGTATGTCTTATGTATTGTTCCGTTTCCTAATTCGGAGTAAATGTTGCTTTTGTTAGGCCATTGTGCCTTCTTACTTTGCCGCTAATCCTCCGGAATGATAGGTGTGATACGCAGTTGAGTAAAGTTCAACAAGAGGTCTGCGTTAGCTGATAGGTGCCTATGGATCACTAATGGAAGAGTTGAACGGACGTTGTCTGTGGGATGGGCGGATATCTCTAGGAGTAGTAACGGAGCCATCATCGCACGATAAGGATTGCTGCTGATCGACCACCCTGGAGGCTGGTTAGGTATACATGTTAACCGACGTAGAATAATGCAGTGACGTCCACGAAGCCTCGTCGATAAACCCTTATGAGACAGCAAGTGAGTGATTGCGGAAGGCCTTTAGAGCGGGAACAGGGAGGTGCGAAGTGACTGTCCTAGGCCGCATTCGGCCATTGTGGACGGTAAGTAGGAGTCGGTGTAGCTGGTAACTGGCGACGTGAACCACCCGCTGTGAAGGGCATATCAGGTCAACTAACAAAGCCGGTCGGGGGGAAACAGTAGACTGTGAAACAGGCGGAATTGGGAACAGCCGTTGAGGAAAATGTCGATTGCGGTAAGCTTGCCTAAAGGGGAGATGAACTGCCGGGATTTATGTAAGGACGGCGTAGGTGAGAAGCCTTTAGGAGGGGGGAGGGAGGAAGGCGTGGGCTAAGCGGTGAGGGAGCGGTAGGGGTGTATGCAAATACCGCAGTGGTCTAAGAGCCTGAAGCCTTTGGTAGCAGCTGCCCCAAGTAGAAG